GCGCCGCGCCCCTTTGGCCCGGGAGGCGGAGCCGGGCTGCACGAGGTTTTCGAGAAAAATTAAACTAAGCCAAGGGAAAGGCTTTGGGGAGACCACGATTCTCTAAAAACCAGTACCGCGGCTGAAGAGGACCCGGTGCGCTGGGGCGTGACGCGAGGGAGTAGGTTGCAGTTCTGGGAGAGTCACTGTGCATCCCAGAACTGGGGGCGGAACGCATCGGAGCGCGTTTCCAGACCAGTTTACCGGACTGCGAGCGATCGAAATCCACCGAGCAGCCCAGAACTGACTAGATTACACATCACCGCGCCGTGAGCTGCAGGTTGTATAGACCCCGAAGCTCGTTCTTCGTGACACATCATCCCGCGTTTGCCTTTACTGGTTCCTCGAGTGGGAAAGGACTGCCTGTCCCCTGTGAACCCACAGGTTCAGGTTTAGGAAGCGTTGGCCACGACTGGGTGCTTGAGTCCTGGGCCGTACATATTCCCAGAAACGGGGAATAGAGCAAGAGAGTCCGTGCACAGAAACTCCAGGGGTCCTTGGTATGCTGACTGTTCATTTACCAGTGTTAACCTGGCGCAGCGCGCGGGACCAATTGTGTACAGAAACATTCTGGGAAAACAGGCCTCCACCCTTCTCCGTTCCCTCTGTGCAGGGAACGGTAGCCTCCTAACACAGATGGAAGTGAAGCTTTTATGTCTGGGGGCAGGTATCATTTCAAGTCTAGCGATAAGGAGGAACTTTGGGATTTTTCTTCTATGCACATGTTTTCTTCTCTGTCATTTTTTCCATTATTATTTTTTTGAAATCATCTTTGAGGGGTAGATAGCCCACCTCCCCTCCCTGCGCTGTTGAAAGGACAGCAGTGCCCAGCCCAGACTCACGGAGACTCCCTCCTCCGCCCCATGATACCCGTTCTACCCCCATTTACAGTTTCTGCCCTGATCGTGACAGGCCTATACAGACGTGGATCTTCTGTCTATATTGATGGAGATGTGGGAAGGACCCAATACTTCTCATTTAACTAATGTTTATTGAGCATGTACCTGTGTAAGACCCTATGCTAAGGATTGGAGGTTATGAAGCCCCTTCTCTAGAGAATGGTAAGAGAAAAGAGAAACTTCCACAACAGAAGAATAAACCAGTTTTCCTGGGCTCAAGGTGAAGAAGCACTTCATTTTGCCTGGGGTCGCTGGGGAATGCCTTGTGGTGTGTCATTTGAGCTGAGTATGACTAGGATTAATAAAAAGTGGAAGAAGGTCATCCCAAGCAGTGTGAGCAAAGACAAGAGAGAACAAATGAATATCAGGCTCAGGGTACTGCTAGAGCCTGAGAGATCACTATGGCAAGCGATGGGACTAGAAAGAAGAAAGCCCAATTACAAAAATTCTAAAGAAAAGAGAATGTCCTGTAGTAGGCCAGAGTCTCCTGACGTGTGGGTCCTTCACCACCAGTGAATGGAGTGGCTATTTGGGATGTATGAAGATAGGCCCTATAATAACACAATGAGAAAGTCACTGCCTTTCCAGTTTACTTTCAGTCCTTCAAATTATACTGTTACTGGCTGTGTGACCCTGAACATGTTGTTTTACTTCTCTGTGGCTATTTCCTTACTGTAAAATGGGAATAATAAGAAATAGTAACTACCTCATAGTGGGTGATAGGGAAGACTAAAAGAGGTAATGGATGTAAAGGGGTGGATGGTGGTGGGGTGGATTAGCACATATTAAGTTCTCAATATATATTAGCTCTTATTATTGATATCCCTTTTCAATAATGAGAATGAGCCAGTCTGTGGTCAGACCTTTTGGCAAACACAGTTTCTAATCATTTTGTTTTTCTGGTACTTAAACTTATGGTTGGCTTCTGTGTACGACTAGCCTTATGGGTTTTCCATTTGCAGCAATGAAATTAAGATTCTTATGCAAACATATTAAGTAAAAAAAAAAGAGCCAACTTAAAACATAATTAAAATAGTACAGTTGTCACATGGATATGGCAAATATCAAGAAGGTCGTACTGGAATGAATGAGGTGGGGAATAACATGGCTGGGGGTGGTGGGGAGCCTTGATGCTTTAGGACAGAGTGGTGATAGGATTAAATTGAAACTGTCTAGAGATGAAATTAGCAAACATGGAAGCAATAGGTTCGACTAGGGCAAGGTGAGAAGCAAGAGAACCAGGAGGGAAACTACTGAGACAGTAAAAGGGAGAATTGAAGGGACCTGGAAGTTATGGCGCTGGTATTGGGAAAGAAATAGACAAGTGCCAGGTGCAATATTCAGAGAAGAATCGAAAGGACTTCGTCACCAATTACAGGCCTACAGCCCCTCATCCCAAACTCAGGGGACCAGGTATGTTCCAGAATTTAGAATTTGGGGGATTTTTAATAATATAGTACATATTTTAATACTAACTCTTCCGATTAGGGATGGGACAGCACCCCCATGAACAAACACATTGATATTTATGCCCCCAAATATTAAAATAATCTCACCAAGTGAGGTAAATAAAGACCACAAAGAGCCTCATGTCATTTTAAGTTAAGTTTTGTTGCCAAATGAGTTCTGATGCCACCTTACCAAATCAGTTTTGGTTTTCGGAGCTTTTTGGTTTTAGAATTGTGGATAAGGGCTTGTGGGAAGTGTTCACGGGAACCCTACCCAGGTTTCTCACTTAAGCAAGTAGGTGGGAGGAAATGATGTCAAATGACCTAGAAAATGGTTTTAGGTTTATTTTTTGACGTGTTGAATTTGGGATGACTTGGGGACACCTAGTCATACAGTGGGAATATCAGAGAATCAGGGACTCAGGAGACCAGGGGGTGGAGGGAATTGAGTTTTGGAAGTAATTTCCTAAGGCAGTGTTTCACACTGTAGAGAAATATTCTAGGCCACGCAGAGAGCAGGGGGACCCCGTGTGTGTCCTTTATTTGGAAGGCCTGTATGAGCAATGTGACAGTTCTGTTCACCCTAGCAGTCTCCTTGTGCCCTTCAGGGACCCTGCTACCTGCCAGGAACCCCCTCTCCAGTTCCAGATGGATGAGTCTGTGAAGCCTTTTATTTTTTTAAAGTTATTATTTATTTATGAGAGAGAGAGAACACAGGCAGGGAGGAGGGAGGAGCAGAGGGAGAGGGAGAAGCAGACTCCTCACTTCCCCGCTGCTGAGCAGGAAGCAGGGAGCCGGGAGCCTGACTCTGGTCTCGATCCCAGGAACCGAGAGCATGACCTGAGCCGAAGGCAGACTCTCAACCAACTGAGCCATCCAGGCGCTCCTGTGAAGGTTTTTAACTCAGCTAAATTTGAGCCCTCGTTTTACTCACACACCTGATACTAACAGGAGACCGAGTGACTATAACTGTCCACACCACGATTCAAAGACTCATCCTCTAAACCCTCCTGGAACCTCCAGCACTGTGATCCCCTGGGACCTTTTCCCCATTTGGGACCTCTCAGCAGCAGACTGTCCTGATGGGGCTTGATGATCCTAAAATTCATCACTTGTAACTGTTTTGTCTTCTTTTTAACCCCCCAAATCTTACAGTTGGGGAAAGAGCACTACCTAGAGATGTGTGCTATAACCATGCCCACTCTGTCTAGCCCAGTGCATTCTACCAAGAAGGTAGTAATACAGGAAAAGCAGAGAGCTAAGACAGAACTTTGGTGCCAAACACATTTAAATGGAAGGTGACAAAAATAAGAAGCAAGAGGAAAAAATTAAAAGGAATCAGGAGAACAGGTTAGTGTTAGGGAAAACAGGGAATGGCTATATGGAATTGCTTTCTTGAAAAATTGTATCTATCAGGGTTGGTTCTGGAAGAAGAACCAGCCCTTAAGGATCATCTTCTCTTTGGGAATCTTGCTGTAATTAATTACCACTACCCCTATTATCAGGTCAGCAGTTCTCAGTGTGGCCTGTGGGCCCCAAGAGATCCCTGTTTCAGGGGGTCCACAAGGCCAAAATTATTTTCATAATTATACCAAAATATTATTTGCCTTTTTCACTGTTTTGACATTTGCACTGATGGTTAGTGTAGCAAATCAAGAAAAAAAATGTTAGGTTTACTTTGAAATGTCCTTGATAAAGCAGTGAAAACTAAAAATTAAATCTTCACTTTTTTTTTTTAGGGAGTGAA